CATCATCATCATCATCGCGTAAAGACTCAATTCTTGAAAGGATGTACTGTGATCGGTAAGAGCACGTCTTAAATATGATTGGATTGGAGAAGATAAAGAGAATACGGTGATCCATGAAACCAAAAGCTATGATGACCGAAGAACCATATATGTGGTGATCTAGCAATCTCGATGTGTCTCGCATGCCCTAAACATCCTCAAGAATCCCTGGCAAGATCTGTGTGCGTGTATCTGCGCCGTAAAACCCTTTCACCGTTCTCGTTGAGGACAGTGAGACCCCTATCGCCGCGACATGCCGCTCGGGCCCTCCTTGAAATTGTGTCCAACCAAGGCTGTCGGCGGTGCCAGCCTCCGTTCAGGACCAATAAAATTTGCAGAGACAACATCCCGATCGCAGTCGTGACCAAAAAAGAAAGAGAGTTTCGTTTGTAGGAAAGAACAGGCCCAGGGATGGCGAAAATGCTAGCCACGATGACGATCGGGGATACAATTAATATCGTGAACTCGTTGATGTGACTAACCTGTCGGGTCAGGCCAAACTCCAAACGTCGCGCAAGCTTTTCGCAACGCTCTTCAATCCTTTGTAGTTTTGCCTGCAAAGAATTCATCTTGTCAAAAGTTTGATCGAGTAACTCCAGTAGTTCCTCGATGTGCGCTCTTGTATGAACAGAGGAGTGTTGGTGGCGATCTCGGAAATACTCGATGTCTTTTCCAGAACGTGCAAAACATGTCCAGCTTTCTGTCGCTTCAGAGAAGCTGGAAATCAAATGCTGTACTAACAACAGCATCTCTTCGTTCCAATCCAGTAGAGAAGAGTTATTGTTGCCGCCCACACGGGAGAATTGTCGGCCTAGTACTCGTCGTCTGTAAGATGCTTCTACAACGCGCACCAGATCCCTCGCCTCTTGAAACATATTCTCAGCCCTAATCTGATATATATGCAGGAAGTATTCTCGCGGATCCCAGATAATCTTATCTGCGTCAAGATGTCCCATGGAAATCTCATCAGATCGCCGCTCCGGCAACCGAAAATCGTCACCACGATCTGGATCGAAAATCTTTGTTTCGAGAGCGTACGCGGTCCAGCGGGAATTGTCAGTCCCACAAATAGTGAGGGAGAAGTGGGCTAGGTGCATACCCATAACACCCTCCTTAACGTTCTCGGCCAGGAATGATAAATCCTTCCAATCAGAATAAGTAGCTTTTCCTTTGACTCTGCTCAAGCCTTCTGCCGGAGTTTCTCTTAATGCAAAACACGGAAGATGGACTCCAAGGTGGAAGACTGGATAGCCACGAACTGGAATGTTGACTTCCAATGATATCTGTCGATCGATGAATTGCCATAGCAGTCCCAACAACGAGCTCTTCTGATATTGCCGTGCAGTATCGGTCAATGCCAGTATGTAGCAGGGATCAGGGTCAGTAATGTAGAGTAATCTGCGATCAGCGTCTTCGAAGTAGTCATGGTCGAAGCGCTTTTCACGCAAATGCGCATAAAGGGCTCCTGGGGTCAAGCTTTCCATGTAAAGCCTTGGTAAGGGAGCAGTCAATGTATGTTTGGGAGAAGCTCTAGCTGGTTGGTTTGTTCTGATTTCGATCTCTCGGCCTGCGTCTGGTAGGACACCAAGCCCCTGTCCTGTCGGGTTGATGGTGACACAGTCTGGCGTAGGCAAGACAATACCCGAGCCGCATGGTGCTGTATTGCCGGCAAGCTCCGACACAGGCGGTTTTGAGCGATCATCGAGCCATGCTGTGCCCTTGTTTGACGTGAGCATACGATGTCGGCTGACTTTACGGCAAAACTGGGAAACGACCTCAACGGGGAAAAATGTCTTGTCATGTTCGTACTGCTGGGAGAAAAGCCGGACTCCGTGGTTGACAGGGTCATGCTCGTTCAAAGAGTCGACAAAGGGACGGTCATCTTTTGGCTTCCGGGATTCAAAGAACTTGCGTGGCCATTGCCTGTATACACGTCCTTGAGACGATAGCGAAAACATCTACAGCGTTCAGGATCTTCAATCTCTAATTGCAACTCATTAGATACGTCGATATCAGGCTACCGATGGTAACATATGGCGACCTTCCTATCAAAACGAATGGAAGAGACTTACAATCCGAAGATCCAAGGTGCAAGGACCCCGATGATGAGACACCTTTCTGTGATCCGACACAAAGCGGCGTTGGCTGGAATGAAGTCGATTGGCTTGTAGAGGGAGCATGATGCAGCCAGGTGGCCTCTTCGTGGAAAGGTTCTGGAAGCTCGAAGCGTCTGGAGTGTCACGCCAGTACGACTCTACGATTATACAGATGCAATCGCACTAGAGGGGCATTGCGTCTAGTTATTTGTGATTCAAGGTGGCGAACCCTTCAGCCGCAGCATGCGTGGTAGTATGCGTCAACTTTGGGTGTACCAACGAGAAGTCCGGACAGATATCACGACCTCATGTTGTACCTCGAAACCGAAGTGCATTAGTCGTGACACGTATTCAGGCGTTTTAGCCAAATAAACAAGGCGTTTCACAAGGCTTCGTCTGCCTTCTTTAACGCCCTTGGTTATCACCAATGGAGGACACATCAAAGTACTAGGAGATGTCTATTGGCGATTGATAAGGTACGAGATACGGATATCCGCGCTCCGGGTCAGTAGTGGTAGGGCTATCACATGCTGTGCGCCATAGGTGTTGCGCAGAGTCTCTTGTCTATTACGACGTTGGGCAGCAGTGATTCCATCCCGTCTTACCGCATGAAGGACCTTGCAAAACATAGTGATCCAATGGAAAGCATTTCGCCAAGACATCTCCCCGATTTCCATCATGTAGCTGCTCAAATGACCAGATGCTCGTTGTTGATGTTGTTTGGCGTCGTTAGCTTCGTTGCGACCGGTCATGGGACCGAAGACTCGACGGAGTTTGGATGAATGATCTGGGCGATTGGTGGAACAGACATCAACGCCGTGACGCAAGAGGTTGCAGCGTATGACAATCAGGGCTTGTCTTCCTGGCCTGTAACAATATTCGCGACATATTATGCCCACCAATATGGTCCATGCGATTGCCGCCGGTGCTGCAAGACAAAGCTGCATCCCAGAGTCCGGGATAGACGATGTGGTAATTGGTGGGTGGAATCCGATAGCAGCATTTGAAGGTAAGGACCGTAAGGTAGCAAGCGTCACTGATGCCAAGCAACAATGGTGATTGCAGACGATACCCAGTCATCTTTGATTGTATACCCCATAGTCTTGTTCGCGCGCTCGAGTGTCTGGCCGCGGCCAGAATCGTTGTATTCGTCTCGGTGGTAGGAACTGTGCAACGAATGAGCAAAGGAAGAGTAAATGGGGCTTCATAGGAAGAGGAATAAACGAGTGTACGACTAGAATAGTCTTGCTCGAGGTACGTACATTTATCTTCGTAGTAGTAGCTCCAGATCTATTGGTGAAGTGAGGTCCGGAGCTGCTGCTTGAACGTGCTCGGTTTGTGTGGCAACCGTCTATGGTCGTTGTTACCACTTCCTTTGACGCCTTCGGTCTGCAAGAGCATGACGCGAGAGCCGAGGCTCTCCATGATGCGGATATTGTGCTTGTGTCTCTGGAACATGGTATGCTTCCGTCTCAGATCGATCCTCAAGGGTATTGCTGATGTCGCCCTGTAACGGTTGCATCGCCCGCACCTGTACTCGGGTCGTAGTGCAGTATGCACATCTGCCATAGCCGCATCCTGGGCAGCCTGCGCTAGATATGGGAATATTTGAAGTAGCGCAGTAGCACTGTATCAGTTAACTATATGTTCTCGAAGCTCAAGAGTAGGGTTCATTTACACATTGCCAGATGAAGACCTGGCGCTTTTTCGCCTGAAAGTATGAGCTCGCGCATTTTGTTCCCCGTTTTGTAACTCACGAGCTTCTGTCTGGGTGGTACGCAGGAGCTACAGTAAATAAGATAACAATAAGAATAACGATTCAGAGTGATCTCTTACTGGTGACTTCCATGCCTATCATGACTCTCCATTGACTCTGCATTGAGCAACTTGAGCTTTTGGATTCGGTTCGGGACGAGAGTAGAAGTAAATTTTCAAAAATGTTGTGAATGCAGAACGCCTAGCGAGCGGTCAAAGCTTGCCATATATGCATTCGCCAGTTGCGCATTAGGCTCGATCAACACTCTGAAAGCGGTCTTACAAGGAAATTAGTTGTACGACCCTTGGATAGTGTGGTGACTGCGAGCACAGCCTTAGCACATGTATGCTGCGATATCTGCGTGTCCTTGAGTCTCTCATAATGTCATTTCGTTCGGCTGAGTAAATGTCTAGGGTCTTACCCGGTTGGATTATCCGGAATTTGTTTTTCAAGGATTGGGATGAGTATTGATGTGCTATCTTTCGTGAGCAGGGAAAGTCCATTGTTAGAGTGAGTCTCGTCCAGAGTTTCGATGGCCAGTTCAATGCCAAATCCTGGCACAGATACTGCAAAATTCAGGCGTAGTCGATAGAAGAAAAGAGATAAAGACTGAGGGAGGATGACGACGTGTGGGGTTCCGATACCAGGTGTTTGGATGAGTGGCGTGCCAGCTCGCCAAGTAACGCCTCTGTCAAGGTCTGAGCGGTTTCTCACAACACCTTCGGTTAGCCGACGAATCGCGGCGAGTCTGGCGTATTCTGCCGTGTTCGTGCTTTGCATTGAAACTGCGGTTTAAACTTAATAGGGTTGCGGGAACAAGCCCCTGCAAGGTAGGTAAGCGGGAACATCGGAGCATTGGGGGTTCAGCCCGTGCCCCTCAAATATTGACTTTGAAGGATCACCGGCTCTAGTCTCTGGAAGAAGTATTCCCTGGGTGACAAGGTACCATGTGGTGATGTAATAACAGACTAAAACCAATTTTGAAGAGCTAATACACGTGGATGGACCCTATTGGGGACCCCTCCAACGGGTCAGACCGGCTGCATAACCTCCAACTCCATGCGGTCTTCGGAAGTTAGTTTTGGGTGCAGTCCAATAACGGAAGGCTCTTACCTTGCTCCTCTGGAGACGAAGGTCGAGGTTCTTCGCTTCGACAATTCGACTTCTTCCATGAGACTATTCTGAGAAGAGAATGCGCATGCTCAAACAGCATAGCGAAGAGCCGAAGTACAAGCATCAGCACGATTGATACCAACACGAAAGACTTTGGATTTCGACTGAACGCAAATATGTCCTTCTCGGAGCCGAAGTACTGGAGGACCATCTGTAATGGCGTTGTGAATAGAAGCAGCTGAAGATGTGTTAAAGAATCGATGTGTGGGCTGGACTTGGAGACTTACCTCGACGTTCACACGTGTGCTATTGCTCGTCTTCGCAGCAGCAGCTTGGTTCGCCAGCGCTGCTTTCATGCTCAATTCGTTAATTTCGCGCATCTTGTCGCTAAGGACACTTGTTCGTTGGTTCAATTTGTGCGTCCGCTCACTCAGATCGTGATTGTCCATATTGATCCGGTTGCTGTCTTTGTTAAGCAGGTTGCTCTCCAGATTGAGCTGGTTGCTCTCTTTGTTCAATCTGTGGCTCTCCATGTTCAGCTCATTGCTCTTAATTGTCAACTTGTGGCTCTCCACATTCAGCTTGTTGGTTTCTCTGCTCAGTTGAATGCTCTCGAAGGTCAATCGGTTAGCCTCAAGATCCAGTATACGGCCAAGCTTCGTCATCGTTAGCCGCTGTAGTTCGAGTCGTAAGTCAACTCACATGATCCGAAACATGTCTACAAGAAGCACTGAGAGATCCCAATCTCAGGTAGAGGTCTCCAAGCTTCTGGAAATGTTCCTTGATATCATTGCGAAGAGCAATAACACTTGGCCCGGTCAAATCGGAGAAGTAGCACTTATCACCGCCGGGCTCGTCAAACCTTCTGTATGCGCGAAGTGTCATCGATAGAGAATCTCGAAGAGTGCGCAGAAGTTGCATCGCCTGAATCGTTTGGTCCAACGACTTTCGTATGGCTCTTGGATCTATGCTGGACCCACTCAAACTGTCAAGGCAAAAATCGCCAGATTTCTGGCAATACAATAAGCTGAGTAGTCTTGAGGCTTGGCACAGAACTTACCCATGCGTCGATGGCATCTTCCACTGTACGGACTAGATACTGCCACTCTTTCCACACCAGTTGGCAGCGAACTGAGAGAACTCTCAACCAATATTTGCGCGCATCCCACTCTGGATTGTTTGCGTTGAGGACATAGTCCAGGCCGTCTTCAGCTGCCAGAAAGTCTTGTTGAGGCATATCTTCGGTCTCTTCCTCAGAATCGGTATCTTCTTCTTCCTCCGCCTCGACACGGGTATTGGCGAAAGCATATCCAGTCCATTGAGTGTTACTCCACCCACATACCACAACGCTAACATTGGCTTCTTCGATAACGTGCGCCGTAGAGACTGAGTCGGAAGACGACTGTAAATCAAGCCACGTCAGGTCGACCAATGACGTGTTCGACGGCTTGTGCTCAGCTGCTTCAGCGTTTTCATTTGGAGATGGATCGACTTCGCGTAGTACAAGATAGGCTAAGTGAAATTCTAGACAAAACGTTGGTCGGCCATGCATCTGTTCCACGTGTGAGGGTAGCTCTTTGTGAATGCTCAAGGATCGACAGCTAACACATACCGAAGGTTGCGCTCGAATTGACGTTTCCATTGCAATGTGTCTGCAAATTGCATCACGTAAAGGGGTAATTTGATGACCCCAGGCGGAGACGGCAAGAGCTCGAACGAAACTCGGGGTAAGCTTCGAGACATAGCTATCAAGAGATAAGCTGTTTGTAAAGCGAAGTTTACGTGGATGGACTGTGCGTTGACTCACATCAACCGTCGATCGACATCGGGAACATCATGCACATCAAAACGCTGTACTTGTCAGTGAGTTACGTTCAGAGCGATGGTGGGAATTACTTCTTGTCTCAAGGCAGCACATAGATCGATGGCGCCCATTCTGCTTACGTGGTTCCTTTTGTTACCAGTGCAGTATTCGCGATCGTCCAACCAAGCCCATGCCGCGTCGTCAGCTTTGGCGAATGCGTTGTTGTTGTCTTCACATGAGAAGAAGTTCCTCACGACTTTTGCCTCCCATGAAGTGATCGATCCGTCCCAGTCACTGAGGAACATGTGGCTAAGCTGTTTGTCAAACAAGAGCTTGATCTCTTTTCCTCGATATCGCTGCAAACTGGTAGCTGTATTGGTGTTGCTGATGGTGACACCTGCGGTTGTCATTGCGTCATCTGTAATTATGTTATCCTCAGTCGTCTTCTCCTCTTCGCCGTAGATCTCGTCACTATGCCCGCCGCCTTGCGGATTGTCGTTCCGGCTGTTCTCATTGCCTTCAACTTCGCCGACGAAGATTCTGCGGCATTGTTCTACGAGCGGGTCGTCGCCAGAGAAGCGACGCTCGAAGAATATCGGATACCAATATTTCCCATGCTGTGAAGGTCCATTCCGTCTGTAGCTCTTCCGCGTCGCGATGCTGGAACTTCGCGTGTTGCGCGCAGACGATTTGTGCCTTGGAGACATCGAGCCTCGTGATTGGGACAATGATCTGGGATGATGTCCAATCTTGTGGCAAAATCGTGGGTTGCGTCGTGAAGAGAGCGACGGTCTTTAATAAGACACCGGTGTAGCTCAGTCGACAGTGAACGTCTAAAGCACAAGGAGTTGAATCATATGTTGGCTCAGCCTGATAAGTGTCACAGAGAATATTGTGTCGAAGAAACAAACTCCTAAGCAACGGACGAAGGCGACGACGCTGGCGAGTACTGTTATACCCAAGATTTCAGCCACGAAGCGCGCCGAGATGCACACGAGACATCCCATAATCCCAACAATGTAGATCTTGCCAGCGCTTCGCAGTGCGTAGCTCTGTGGGTAGGCTCGGTTTCAGGCTTTCTCAGCCAGCCGCGCGGTTATTGGATAGGACATCATCAAAATCTGGGCCGACGAATGCAGGACGCCTGCGGTAAGGCAGAATCTGCAGCACGTTAGCCTCAGGCATGTGAACCAAAGGTGACTCAGAATGGAAGCCGATATCTGCTGGTATGAGACAATCGATGATCTTCGCGAAAAGGTGCGTACGCGCGGTTTGGAGCAGGGCTACAGAGATGTGCAACAACTTCGACGTACGATACTTACCATCTCTTCAATACCACAGTCCTCTTAGTTGCCTATGCTCATTGATTGTTGGTGGGAGAGCTCCTGTTGCCGTTTCCTGTCATCGGCAAGGCAGTCATGGCTCTCGAACGAAACGCTGCACACAAGAGCTGGTCACCCATGTTCACACTAATTTCTGGAGACCAGCTGGGCGCAGTCAATGAAGCAACAGGCAAGAGTCTACCGCAGTGCGCGAAGTCAGTACTTCTCGAAGAGGAGTTGGTGGTGGAGAGAAGGCGTAGTGCGTCTACCGAAAAGGTGAGGTCGGCGATCGTCATAGGCGGGTAGCGAAACTCGGAACTTGTAGAAGCTTGAGCTCCCAAGCACCGAGCTGGCCATTCCTCCTTAACCCAACACATTCCGCAGTTGAGGCAAGAGCTGCCCTTTAAAGCTCAACATGATACTTCAAACCCTGTCGATTCTCCCTCTGGCCATCGGCGCCCTTGCCGCCCTGAAAGTACCTCAAACAGCTCTTGAGGCGCCCACCCTCGGCTCCTCCACATCGAAAGACCTGCTATACCTCCATCGTAAACTCGTCGAGATTGAGTCTATATCCGGGAATGAGAAAAACGTCGGCGATTGGCTTACCGAATACCTCCGCGCGCATGATTGGACCGTCGAGAAGCAAGAAGCATCCAAAGACCGATACAACCTCTTGGCCTACGGCAGCAAGCGCGAAACAACTATACTGCTATCCTCGCATATCGATGCCGTACCCCCCTACTGGCCGTACTACTACAATGAGACGACCGACGTAATCGGCGGCAGAGGTAGTGTGGATGCGAAAGGCAGCGTCGCGCCCATGATCATCGCCGCACAGGGAATACGAGAGCACCTACAAGACGACATATCCCTGCTCTTCGTCGTCGGCGAAGAAACAGGCGGCGACGGCATGCGCGCGTTCAGCAACTGGGACAAACGCCCATCCTCCCACGAAATCGTGATCTTCGGCGAACCCACCGAGGCGAAACTAGTCTGTGGACACAAGGGCATGCTAGGCTTCGAAGTCAAAGCAACAGGCAAAGCGGCACATTCAGGATACCCATGGTTGGGCGTCAGCGCAAACGACATCATGGTACAAGCACTGGGCGAGCTCTTGAAGCTACGAGAGCACCTCCCATGGAGCACGAAATACGGCAACACGACCATGAACTTCGGGCGCATCCAAGGCGGAGTCGCAGCCAACGTCGTCGCCGAAACCGCAACCGCGAACATCGCGACGCGCATCGCAGCCGGCACCCCCGATGTCATTCGCGGACAAATCCTCGACGCGCTCAAGGACGTCAAAGCCTTTGCGCAGAAGGAAGGTGGCGATCTGGACGTACAATGGGGTGGCGAGGCCTACGGTGTGGTGAACATAAACTGTGATATCGAAGGCTTCGAGACATTGACTGTCAATTACGGAACGGATGTGCCACACCTCTCTGGTGACCACAAGAGGTACCTGTACGGTCCCGGCTCCATCTTCGTCGCGCATTCAGATCACGAGGCGTTGAAGAGGAAGGAGCTGGAACAGGCTGTTCTAGACTACCGTCGCCTTATTCTCAAGGCGACAGAGGTGAGGGAGAAGGAGCAGCAGATGCAGGATGGGGAGCAGCTAGAGTTATGAACTTGGGTGAAGAGACGGATGTAAATTGTACATAATTAGATACCCAAACACAACGAGTGTTTCCCTCTGCGACAGTTAAAGCCACTTTGATGTACCCCCACATTTAGTCTACCAGGAGAAGAGTCTCGCTCGATACAGGTAGGTCTGAAAGCAGGTGCTCAATGCCCCTTCCCGAGCTCCACTCGTCGACGTTTTACGGCCAAAGAGCAGACTGGGTAGATGGCACAAAGATTATTCTGGCGCATAATCCCTCATATTTGAAGGGACAGAGCGAACCAGCAACGGGAGAGAATGCATGGTCCGTCTGGGTTCTGTTCGTTGCGCTGGTGAAAGGGACTGAGAGTAACGCGTAGAGAGATGCTTTGGCCGACGCACGGAGCGGCAGAAGGTATGACCGGCGACGATAAGATAGACAGCAGCCAGAAGTGAGATGAGATGGCAAAGGAGGAAGGAGCGATGACACCACGCTATGCATTCAACTTACCAACGCCGATGATGCTAGCGTCTCATACCTCATATCATACATTTACTTATACAATCATAAAACCGTCAATCAACATTCTCAGCTCGCGATAGCCGGCACGTCGTCCTCCTTTTGTGCAATGCCTTCAGCTTCCTCAGCAGCCTTGGCAGTCTCCGACATACCCAGGTCCCTGAACTGCCAGCCATCGTTCTCTTTGACCCAGTCTTTCCGCTCGCCCAAGATAGCTACACTGCTATCGGCGCCCTTGACGAGGAACTGGTCGGCGACGGCTTGTACCTGCTCAGCTGTGACGTCGAGGAGGCGTTCGCGACGCGTCTGCAGCATATCATCTGTGACGCCAGACAGGAACAGCCTCATTCCCTCGCGACTGACACTTTGCGGCGCATCGTATCCTTGGAATGCACTCAGCTTGGCTTCTTCAAGATCCTGAGGTGTCCATGCGCGGTCGCGCGCCCATTGCCCTGCTTCGGCCATGATCTTCATACTGTTCTGCGGATTGGGATCGCGGTATGAGTACATGCCAAAGAGACCGCCGATGCTACGTGCGTAGGCACCACCGCCGTATGCGCCACCTTTCTCGCGAATCTCTGGGTGAAGTTGCTTGAAGGTAAGGAGCTTCGCGAGGATCTCAAGAGGTGCGCTGGAGGCGTCTGCGTAGGCCACTGTCGGAACAGCGCGGGCGGAGTAGTAGACTTGGTATGGCAAAGGGAAGAAGGACTTGGCGTTGCGAGGGTACTGCTTTTGCTGCGACGTCGAGGGCACAGAGACGTCCTTGGGTAATGTGTTCAAGAAGCGATGTAGTGCCTCCTGGTTTGGCGTTGAGCTCTCGCTACCGCAGTTGATTGCTACGCGGAGCTGGCTGCTGTTCGCGATAGTGAAAGACTGGATAGCTTTGAGTTTCTTGATGACATCGTCTAGCGACTCTTGCGATGCGAGAGCAGTCATAACCTTGACTTGGGTGAGACCCCCAGTTTCTTCTGCTAATCGGCTCACAGGACTGATTCCAGCTTCAGCGAACTTCATAGCATAAGAATGACCAGACTCTGCGATCGAGTTGATGGCACCACTTGCCGCACTCTGCAGGAGCTCTCGGATCTTCTTGCCCGCTTCAGGCCCATCAAAGTCCGTCTCTTGTATGATAGTCCGTAGGAGTTCGTACATGTCGGGTATGTTACGGTCGAAAGCGTAGCCGGAAAATGCCGTACCTTCTTCGTACGCGTCGAGCGACAAGGGTGACTGTGAAGAGTGGTAGCCTACGGAGATGCCTCCAGTTTTCAGCTTGATCAGTTCCTCAAGTTGTTCCATCGTCTTGTCTTTGGTACCAAGGCGCATGATGGCGCTGGTGAACAGCGGGATCATCTCTCGTAACTCGTCTGGGAGATCCTGTAATCTGTGCACAGCACGGAAGTACGTCAGGCCGTTGGTGGGTGCCTCTCGCCACTGGACCTTCACGCCGTCCAGCTCAGTATGTCGCAGTGGCTTCCTCTCCTTTTCTCGAGGAATATCTTTTACGTGAACAGTGGGCAGACAGCTCAAATCTTCGTTTCTGGCTTTCTCTTGAACTTCCAGTAACTGAAGCTCTCGCTCTTCCAGGTACTTTTGCGCCTCCTGTTCGCTTGAGAACTGCTTCGTCGTCTCTGCAATCTTTGCCGCTAATCGTTGGCTTTCTTCGTCCACGAGTTCCTGGCTGAACGTCTCGGATGGCTGCATGGTGAAGGTCAGGGTTTTGTCGGTGAGTAGGTACTTTTCAATCAGGCTCTCCAAATAGTTGCCTTCAGCGTACTTCTTCTGGAAAGCGTTGACCGTTTCTTGCCACGCGAGGGCCTCCATTGGGTCGATACCGTTGAACCAGCCAGGCTTTAGTCTTTGGAGGATGCCCATCCCAAAGTTGGCAGTCTTGTGCTTGAGCGAGAGCTCCAGCTGATGTAGGATACCATCGACCTTGATCTTGTCGAAGCCGTTTTTGCGCACCTCGAGCAAGGTCTCTGCAATGGTCTCGCGGACCTTGTTCACATCATCCGCTTTGACGGCGTCCAGCCCAATGGACAAGACACCTCGTCGTCCAGCGCTGTCATAGCCAGTATTCGCACTGAAATCAGCACCAAGTCCAGATTCTACAAGATTGCGGTAGAGAGGCGAGCCGTAGCCGCTCATAAGCAGACTGCTCAGTACTCCCAGCGCAAAGTTCTCTACGGCGTCCGCAGTGTCGCCCATCAACCATGTAACCGAAGTCTTGTACTGCCTGTCCTGAGGTACCAGTGGGTCGAGGGGTCCCGCAACCGTGACTTCCTTGGGACCGTCCAGAGTTATTGGAGCCTTCACTTCCTGATCCACGGCTATCTTGTCAAAACCGTTCAAGCGACTGTCCACCTCCTTCAGATGCTCCACCAAAGGCATGTCTCCGTATGTGAGAATCTTGGCATTGCTTGGATGATAGTGGTCGGCGTGGAATTTCCGTAGCTGTTCCCAAGTCAGGTCGGTAATCTTCTGTGGGTCGCCACCGGAGTTGTTGATGGCTGGGTATAGGTGGTCTTGGAATTTGGTGTAGAACAAGTAGCTTGCATCCGACATCTGGCCCTTCATTTCATTGTATACCACGCCCTTGAAAACGATGCGCTTCGCGTTGGGGTCCTCCGACTCTTTTGCCAGCGGGTTCTCAGGACCCAATCGCCACCCCTCTTGGGTAAAGTCATTCTCCTTTAGTAACGGGTGTAGCGTCGCATCGAGGTATACGGACATGAGGTTTTTGAAATCTTGCGCGTTTGTCGTGGCGAACGGGTAGCCAGTGTGGTCGGGAAAGGTCCAGGCGTTCATGAAGTTGGACAGAGAGCGGGGGAGCATCTTGAAGAAGGGGTCGCGGATGGGGTACCTGGACTGTCAGAGATAGGTTGATTCCAATAGCAAGGTGACATACTTCTCACTACCACACAGTGTGGTGTGCTCGAGGATGTGTGGCACTCCGGTGGCATCTGGTGGATTGGTCTTGAAGCCGATCGAAAAGACATTGTTCGCATCCTCGCGGGCAATGTGCAGATATTCGGCGCCAGTCTTGTCGTGCTGGAGATGTAAAGCGGTCAACTCGAGCTCCGGCACCTGCTTGACGCGCTTGAGGGTGAAACCATGCAGCTGCTCGCCGACATTGGGGAAGTTGGAGACATCGGTAATAGCGGCATATCCACGTCGAGACAAGGTTGACAGTCGGTGCGGGGTTATCGTGGCATTTCGAAGGCTTTGGACCTGCCGACCAACGGAACGCAGCATGTTTGGAATAGAGGGTGGATGGCAGAGTGCCGCGCAGCCTCAGAAATGTCAGAGGCACCCCATCGATGACGCCTGTCGCGCCGATTGGCCGAGGGACCCCATACCAAAAGAGATTAGCCCGCAAAATTACTAAGACGAAAGAGTGCGCCTGGACAGGCTGTTGATGCGTTATACGGCTGGAGACATGTCGGATTGGCTAGCCTGCCAGTGATCTCATCTGTCAGGTCCGATATTGAAGCTCGTGGGCGTTGTGGAGACTCCCAGGTGTCTTGTGCCTTTCGCGATCGACCAGACCACCGACGTCGTCCCCTCCTTCCTCTTCAACACCCGCCACGAGACATTGTCCAACCCGACCCCGACGACTGCATGACCCGACACTGTACATATTGCTACACCACGCCCGTTGACGCCCCCTGCACTGCGCTCCACACCTGTTTTCACCCGAAGCAGTCCCGAGACGCCGGCGGAAGACGTGTATCCTCACCACGCGCATTGTAGACAGGCGGCTGCTGCAAGTCGGATGCGCCACTGGACTGCCTAGAGACCTGCATTGGGGACACGTGAGACTGAGTGCATAGGCGGAGGAACCGTCGGAGGCAACACGGGGGATCCACAAGCTGAGGCGCTACACGGAAGAGTCACGACTTCATGGCAACCGTCGCCCAACAGCGCCAGCCGACGTCTGCCCAGTCCCGACCTCACCACGACGCCAGCCGCAGTGCATCTGCCTCTCCTGCAAACATGGCACCCGCACAGCACAACCCTGCGCCTGCGCCTGCGCCCGCTAAGAAGGGCAAAGGCAAGAAGGCGACCGACCCCTCGGAGCAGCAGAAGCAGATCCAGGCCAAGATCGCTCAGCTCGAACTGGACCAGGCAGGGGACAAGGAGCAGGAACTCGAAATCGGTGCGTCTACTTCTTGCGACGGAGCTGTGGGGGAGGGGAGACTCTGGGTGGCGCAGCCCATGTCTGCACAGCACGAGACTGGGGCCCTATCAAATGAATCGCTGGCTGACGTATGGCATGGACAGAACGCGAAGTTAAGAAAGCAAACCGCGAGCTCTCCTCGCTTCTCTCCAACATGGACGGCCCGCTGTCTCGGCTCGAAGTCGTGCAGAAACGATATACCGAACTCCTCTCCGATATGAAGCGCACAGAACGCGAACACCAAAAGGCGAAGAAGCGCGGGGACCAACTGCAGAAGGAGAAGGACGCGCAAAGGTCGGAGCTGAACAAGGTTACGACGATGAAGGACAAATTGGACAAATTGTCGCGTGACTTTGCAAAGGAAAACAAGAAACTCAAGGACGAACTCCACAAGCTCGAATCTAGCGAATCCACCGCCAGGCAAGAACTACACGAGCGTCTCGAACACCTGGTGAATGACGTGGACGATTGCATAGCAGCTGCGAACGGGCCTGAACCACAGAATCAAGCCGAGCAAGAACTGGACGAATTGTATGTGTGGCACAACCAAATTCGGGAGCATGAACTAACGAAGCAGATTTCGTCAAAAGTTCAAGTCTTTCATTGACCAGTACGAGTTGCGCGAATTACAATACCACTCGATGCTGCGACTCAAAGAGCTCGAAATACAGTATCACGCCGCCCGACTAGAGCAACAGCGCAAACAACAAGAAGCCGAATCCTCCAAGTCGCACCAGTTGACCCGTCAAGTGTCGACCTTTTCTCAGACCGAGACGGAACTACGCACGCAGCTCAACATATACGTGGAGAAGTTCAAACAGGTATGCAACCCGTTAACCCCTCGTTGGTCTGTATCATCATGGTTAATACTGACCAGATGCAGGTCGAGGAAACGCTTAACAACTCGAACGATCTCTTCCTCACGTTCCGCAAGGAGATGGAGGAGATGTCAAAGAAAACCAAGCGTCTTGAAAAGGAGAACCAGACGCTGCAACGTCACAAGGACATCACGAACCGTAATATTGGCGAGATGGTGGAAGAGCGCCAGAAGATGCAAGAGGAGCTTGCTCGGCGGACCAAGGAAGCTGAGGACCAGCGGAAGAAGATCGCTCGCCTGGAAACACTGTGTCGTGGAATGCAGGCACAAGGTCGAGGCCAGGTTCCGATGCATGAGCTAGATCACGAGGAGCATGAGGAGGAGGATGAAGAAGTCACGGAGAGCGAGTACGAATACGAGGACGAAGATAGTGCAGAGTACGACGACGACACTGAAGAAGACGGTGTTGAACCGGCGCTTGTGCATCGACCATTCGGGCCTGTCCCTCCACCTCCGCCGCAACCAACACCTGCGCAGGGAAAAGTCAACGGGCATGCACAAGCTAATGGGCAAATGAATGGAGTCAAACGCTAATAGCAATATCATAGAGACTCACTCTTCGGCCCATCTACGTCTTCTCAATTTGCAAATGATGTCCCGCCTCCGCCATCTCAGCCAACGCCTTCGAAATCGCTCGGAGATATCGTGAAGCAGTGGAGCTGGGATGATGCGGACTTACCGTCTTTTGCGGACTTCGGTATGACTGACCAAGCATTCGACGAGATCATGAAGCAGATGAACTGGGATGATGTGGATGCGCTGTTCGATGCGGAAATGGAAGCAATGGCTGACAAGACTGCTCGTCTTCCGTCGAACGATGCGGTAGAGTCGGAGGAGCCAGAAGAGCCGGATTTGGGGGTTGATTGAAGCCGTCTTTGTGCTCCGCAATTGGCATACGTGAGTACAGTGCGAGAGGTCGATTATTGATAACGACATCGATAGTTTGGATTATCATCTCCAACATTCATATCATCGTGCTCTCCAGCAAAACATTTCCCATCCTATCACCATTGTGACTACCAAATATGCATGTTTATTCCGTCTGCGACGGGCGAATCTCGGCAATGGCAACGATGTGTCGACTCGAGCTAAGATGCCTCGGCTCATGCACCCACGTTTTCCCCGCAAAACCCCTGGCAGTCGAGGATGCGAGGATGCCAGTAGGCACGGCCGCTATTTAGCATGCACATTCCCATACTCACCATGCGGTCACACATAGCTCCATTGCTGCCAGAAGCACGCTCCCCAGACCGGTATTCGCTTTATCCGACGTGACCTTTTCTATCTACTTCATTCATCAACCACCCGCCACCACAGCCTACGCCGTCATGTCACCACCGGCACTGCAGACGCCGCTTTCGAAGCTGCTGGGCATCCAGTATCCGATTATCCTCGCCGGCATGGCGCGCACCTCTGGTGGCCCCCTCGCAGCTGCCGTGTCAAACGCTGGTGGCCTAGGTGTAATTGGCGGCCTCGGATACACACCGGAACAGCTCCAATCGATCATCGACGACCTCAAGTCAAACCTCCGAGACAAGAGCCTGCCCTTCGGTGTCGATCTCGCACTCCCACAAGTCGGCGGCAGCGCACGCAAGACGAACCACGACTACACCCATGGACAGCTCGACGACCTCATCGAAGTCACAATCAAGAATGGCGCAAAGCTGTTTGTTAGTGCTGTTGGTGTACCGCCCGAGCGGACGATCAAGAGGCTTCACGAAGCAGGCATCTTGATCATGAACATGGTCGGACACCCCAAACATGCGAAAAAGGCACTAGATGCAGGTGTGGATATCGTATGTGCCCAGGGTGGAGAAGGCGGAGGACATACCGGCGATATCGCGAACAGCATCCTGATACCCTCCGTCGTGGACGTCGCGCGCAAATACAAGAGCCCTCTTACCGGCCAGCCAGCCATCGTGGTGGCGGCGGGAGGCATCTACAACGGCCGCAGTCTGGCAAGCAGCTTGATGCAAGGCGCACAGGGCGTATGGGTCGGCACACGCTTCGTCGCATCAACTGAGGCTGGCTGCTCGCAAATGCACAAGGAGAACGTAGTCACAGCCGACTTCACAGACACAGGCCGGACACTGGTTGTCAGTGGCCGACCGTTGCGCGTCAGGTACAACGACTACATCAAAGAGTGGCACGAGCGCGAGGACGAGATCAAGAAGCTCACGGAGGCGGGAGTTGTGCCGCTGGCGAAGGACATGGACGATGGGAAGGATGTGGATATCCCGTTCCTGATGGGCCAGGTTGCGGGGGTTATCGGCGATATCAAACCCGCAAAGGAGATTGTCGACGAGATGGTGCAAGAGGCGATCGACATGCTGAAGCTCGGCCAGACGTACATTGGAGGGCCGAGCAGTAAACTGTAGATAATAACAGTAGATTTTTTGTGTCTTGACAACCGTCCATCGCATCTCGGTCCCTGAGTTGCCGTGTAACACGACGTCGGAAGAAGCGCATACATGCATCCGGCTCTCGGTCGAAGAACACATTGGACAAACGTTATTGACTTGTACACTCGAAACGAGAAGGATGTCCAAACCACGTCGCGTCGCATTGTGGTGGTGGTGCCTGCGCCTTCCCAGAGCAGCGGCATGTGGAAGATCTGCGACCAGGATCGCGCTCCCCGAATCCATGGCAGCACCGCAAGCTCAGGAGAGATCTGACGGCACGCCCAGTCCCCGTCCGCCTGGGAGTATTCACAATTAATATACACTTCTTCGCACTCGCGGTCGGCGCAAAGCTAGTATTATTATCCTCGCACATCTCGAACGCCCTAGGCCCCTGGCGTTTGCGGCCTTCTCCACTTTCGCTGCCACCAGGGCATATACGGAGCCGTCTCTCTCTTCCGCGGCGCTCGCTCGCCAGTCCGAACTCCTGCAACCCATAGATGACGCTGGTTGCGCAGGCGACACCACGGAGCAGCGGCGCATCATTCCATGCAGTCAAATCTCAGAGCCCAGGCTGAGATTCAGGCCCAGAGGAAGAAGGTAGGCCCCGTCCCGCTGCCGTCCAACGACGCTCGTGCGCCGCAACAAGCAATTCCCCCAGGCGCATGTTTGCAACACGCATGCTGAGACGCAAATTATAGCAGCTCGCGAATTCGTACAAACAGTTGCTCGAGTAAGTTCTTCTTTGCTTTTGCGCGCCGGCTGCGTGTTTCACCGGGTCCAATTTGCTGACGCAGGGCCAGTGAGTTCGCCGCGACTGATCTCAAGACGGTCGGCAACTATACACTGGGGAAACTTATAGGCAAGGGCAGTTTTGGCAAGGTTTACTTGGCGTCGCACAAACTCAGCAATGGCTCAAAGGTACCACCGGCAGGACGGTTGCGAGGAACCACGCTGATCGCAAGCAGGTCGTGCTCAAGAGCGCGAAGAAGGACGACGCCAACCTCGCGCGCGAGATCCATCACCACCGCCAATTCACGCACCCACACATAGCCCGCCTGTACGAGGTCATAGTCACCGAGAACCTAGTCTGGCTGGTACTCGAGTACTGCCAGGGCGATGAACTCTACAACTACCTGCTGGCCAAGGGCGCCCTCGAGCCCGCCAGAGTCCAGCGCATCTTCACCCAGCTCGTCGGCGCCGTCACCTACGTCCACAACAAATCGTGCGTCCATCGCGACCTCAAGCTCGAGAACATACTGCTGGACAAGCACGGAGACGTCAAGTTGGTCGACTTTGGTTTCACGCGCGAGTACGAGGGCAAGTCCAACTACCTGCAGACATGGTGCGGAACAATCTGCTACAGCGCGCCGGAGATGCTCAAGGGCGAGAAGTACGCAGGCGAAAAGGTGGACGTTTGGAGTTTGGGCATCATTCTATACGCGCTTCTAGTGGGCGAGCTGCCTTTTGACGACGACGACGAAATGGTCACGAAGAACAAGATACTGAAGGAGGATCCCAAATATCCGGAGCACTTTCCGCAGCAAGCGAAGGAGTTATGTCAGTCGCTACTTTCCAAACGGCCGATTTTGCGACCTACACTGGCGGACATACTACAGAACCCTTGGTTATCGGAACATGCGCCCCGCCAGCAGGAGATCTTGAAGCTCCAACAGCCGGCGCCTTTCTCGACCGAGCTGGAGAAGGAGGTCTTGCAACGCATGCGCGCTGCCGGAGTGGACATTGACATGGTGATTGAGAACGTGCTAGCCCAAAGATGCGACTCGTTAGCTGGTTGGTGGGCACTGCTGCTCGAAAAAGAGGAACGCAAGGCAAAGAGGCGAGAGCGCAAGCGCAAAGAGAAGGAAGCAGAGGCTAAGAGCCTCCGGCGACTGAGCGCTGCAAGTAGTCGACTTGACAAACTTGCGCCTACCATAAGAGAGTCTGACGAAGAAGGCATTCACTCTCCCTCTACGCCTAAGAGTCGCGGCAGGACCACAAATCGAAGCAGCTTGCATGGTAAGTGTCACGGCGGACGTCAGGAAACGTTTCTAACTTGAGACAGGTGCTCCCGAACTGCCAAAGCTGCCAGAGCTGATCACCTCACCCAATCTCACAGTCGACGACAAGCCGCTCCCCCCAATCGATACCCGTCGGGGTCGGAAATCCCATTCATCCTCACGTCCGCCACCACCAGCGAAGGATCTCGACAGGCGGCGTTCACGCAGCAGCATGCTACAGGTCGTATCTACTAATCCAGATCTTCTTTCTCCCAACGGCTTCGTGCCTAAGCGACGCCGGAAACAGCCCTTCATCAATCACCTTTTGACACTTCGAAATTGGATAAAAGAGACGTCGAAACGAGCGCGATCACCGGGTTCGAAAGCCAGCAGTGGACAGTCGCCAAAGATACCTCCAAGCAAGTCTTCGGATTCAACACGAAGACAGAGTACGGCGAACCGGTCGTCCGTACACACGAACCCCAGGTCTCCGCCCACACCACAAATGCCTGGCCCGCGGCCCCGAGGCTCGACACACGGCTCAGGCTCCATGAGAAGGCTGTCAGCATCGCCTGCACCACTAACACCACGATCCTCATACCGTCGCTCGTCTGGTGGTCTCCGCGGTCGAAAGTCCACTTCGTCATCTGTATCCTCAATCCGCAGCATGCCACACCACCACCACTCGCACTCGAAAGCCTCATCCACATCCTCCGCCTCTCTCGCTTCTCCCGCCGTTTCCACAAGCGGCCACTCACACAAACCCTCCAAATCCCCCCACAACAGCATCAAGGTTCTCCCCGCCACTCCCACCTCCTCAAGCTTTCCTTCCAACATCCGCCTTGTACGTTCTGGCTTCCCACCCGGTCTCAACGAATCCAGCGCCGCTTTCGGAAACGGGAACAGCATTCCCCCGCAGTCCCCGGGACTTGTCTTTGCAAAGAGGAGGAAGAGCCCTTTCAAAGGCCCCATGCTTAATGTTAATACCGGAGGTCTGAATGGCAGCTCGACAAATGGCAGTGGCGGCTGGAGGAGTAGAAGTGGAGAAGGTGGTATGGGGAGTCGGGGAACGAGTGTACAGGGTCGCAGGAGTGGAGAGATTTTAGGCATCACAGAGGAAGATGAGGAAGAAGAC